AATCTTCTTTCGGTAAGTCGGCTGACAGAGGAGAATCAAGTGGCCTTAATCTTTCTCCGTGACTTTTGCATTCTTCAGGACTTACAATCCAAGAACGTGATTGGGAGGGGAATTCTCCGTGACGGGCTTTACTATCTGCCCTTATTCAGTGAGAGGGAGCGCTTGGCATTTTCGGCAAGAGTCGATGATGCTTCTGCGTCGGTTTGGCACTCGAGGCTGGGTCATCCCTCCATTGACAAGATGTCGCAGCTGAAGTCTTTGTTATCTCCTAATTTTGTTGATGATTTAGTTGGTGAACATTGTCATTCTTGTTCTCGTGCGAAACAAGTTAGAACACCTTTTGCCCCTAGTTCGATAAAGACGTCGGCATGTTTTGATCTCATTCATTTGGATTTATGGGGAGGTTATAAAGTTGCTTCTCTGAGCGGAGCTCATTATTTTCTCACTATCGTTGGTGATTATAGTCGCAGTGCATGGGTTTATCTACTCCGTTTCAAGTCTGATGTTGGTCGTTACTTAATGATGTTCTGTGAGATGGTGGCTACACAGTTTGGTCAACGGGTTAAGGGTATTCAGACCGATAATGGTACAGAATTCCAGACTAGTGCATTGCTCGACTATTATTCTCGACATGGGATTAGCTTTCGTACAAGTTGTGTTGACACTCCACAGCAAAATGGAGTTGTCGAGCGAAAGCATCGACATATATTAGATACAGCCCGCGCTCTTCGTTTCCATGCTGGTTTACCCATTGAGTTCTGGGGAGAGTGCGTTTTGACAGCTGTATACTTGCTCAATCGTCTGCCTACAAAACCCACTGGTAAGACACCGTTCGAGGTTTTGTTTGGCTCACCTGCGTCTTATCAGCATCTGCGCACCTTTGGGTTCCTTGTTTATGCAAAAGACACCCACCGCGGTTTACACAAATTCGCTGAACGGGGGCGTACGTGTGTTTTTTCTCGGATATCCTTCTGGTCAGAAGGGTTATCGTTTATATGATCTGGTAACTCAGCAATTGTTTGTATCTCGTGACGTTAAGTTCGTTGAGGGCCATTTCCCATTTCGGTCACCAGAGCCCTCTTTGTTGCATTGGGTGCCACCTGTTGGTGGCAATATTCAAGTAATAGATGATGTAGATATTTCTCCACCATCACAGTCCATGCCCCCTCCTGTTAGCTCGACCAAAGACAAAGGAATTTCATCCTTGTCAAGTTCCCCTGCCGCGCAATCACATGTGCCACCTGCAGCGCCGGATCAGTCCTCCGGTTCTCCTGCGAAGTTGACTTCCCCCAATGGTAGTCCTCCTCCTCTCGGCGATCAGGTTCCCTTACGCCGAGGAGATCGTGCTCGCACCCGACCTAAGTACTTGGAAAACTACGTTACTGATGAGCAAGTCGCCAACACGGTAACATATCCGCTCTCTGCTCATGTTTCTTACTCTCGTGTTAGTCCTGAGTATCGGGCTTTTCTGGCCGAGGTGACCCGTCATGATGAACCTCGAAGCTTTAATGAAGCTATCAAGAATCCATTTTGGCGCGAGGCAATGGAGAAAGAAATAGTTGCTCTTGTTGCAAATGGAACTTGGAGTCTTGTTGATCTTCCTCTAGGAAAGCGGTTGATCGATTCGAAATGGGTGTTTAAAATAAAGTATCATCCCGACGGCAGCATAGAGCGCTATAAGGCGCGTCTCGTCGCAAAAGGTTATACACAGATTGAGGGTGTTGATTATCATGACACGTTCGCCCCGGTGGCCAAGCTAGTTACTGTTCGTTGTTTGATAGCGGTCGCCGCTAATCGTGATTGGCACATTCATCAGTTAGACGTAAACAATGCATTTTTGCATGGGGATTTGATCGAGGAAGTGTACATGAAGATCCCGCCAGGCTTTGCGGCGCGTGGAGAGACCCGTGTTTGCCGTCTTCACAAATCTCTGTATGGGTTACGTCAAGCGTCCCGGATGTGGTACCAAAAGTTTACTGCTGCACTATGCACCATCGGTTTTCGTGCATCGCCAGCAGATCATTCTCTCTTTGTTTACAAGCGAGGATCAACCTTTGTCACAGCCTTGATCTGTGTCGACGACGTCCTTCTTGCTGGAAATGACTTGGATTTTATCACTACAGTCAAGTCTTTCCTAGACCGTCAGTTTAGCATCAAAGATCTTGGTCCTATTCTGTATTTTTTGGGGATTGAGGTGGCTCGTTCCCCTCGTGGCGTTGTCGTTAGTCAGCGCAAGTATACTCTAGATATACTTGAGGAATCATGTATACAGGCTGCTCGTCCGAGTTCGTTTCCAGTTGAGCAAAATCACCACTTGACTAGTCCATCTGGTGATACTCTCTCTGATGGTTCTGCTTATCGCCGCTTGGTTGGCCGGTTATTATATCTGACGGTTACCCGTCCTGATATTACTTATGGTGTTAATATCTTAAGTCAATTCGTTCATGCACCCACGCAAGCTCATATGGATGCGGCAGTGCGCATCCTTCGTTACCTCAAGCAGTCTCCAGGACAAGGTTTGTATTTTCCTGCTGCAGGCACACTTGACCTTGTTGCTTACTGTGATGCAGATTGGGGCGGCTGTGAGAGTACGCGTCGTTCTACTAGTGGTTTCTTCATCAGTCTGGGTGGAGCGCCCGTTTCCTGGCGTACTAAGAAGCAGAAGGTCGTTGCACGTTCTTCTGCTGAGGCAGAATATCGTGCGATGGCCAGCACGGTTAGTGAAGTCATCTGGCTTCGTTGGTTGCTCAGTGAGCTAGATGTGCCCCAGCTCGCTGCGACTCCGTTGTATTATGATAATCAGGCTGCTTTACACATCGCAGCTAATCCTGTTTTCCATGAGCGCACTAAGCACGTGGAAATGGACTGTTACTTTGTCCGAGAACGCGTGGTGTCTCGAGACATTTCCCCTCGTAAGGTCAGCTCGCAGCTTCAGCTCGCGGATCTATTCACCAAGGGCCTTGGCTCCGAGCGTTTTCAGTTTTTGTTGTCCAAGCTGAATGTTCGTGACCTCCACAGTTCAGCTTGCGGGGGCGTATTGGGCCGGAAGAATATTGATGTAGGCGCGTCGTATGACAAGCCCAAGGACTCGACGTCTATTCCGAGTAGAGCGTGTAATGCTTGCTGTAGTTGCGTTGATGATGTACAGAAGCATATATATTGTTCTCATGTAAGGCCACTGGCCACACACAATATCAAATAAGAACCCTAGTCTGTGGACGTAGCTCTTGCACACTGCAGGAGTGAACCACGTTAAAAAATGTCGTGTTCGTTGTCTTTTCCGCGTACAGTTCTTGATTTTTCTCATAACCCGTGGACGAAATTGGCGAGCTCAGAAGGAAACTGGCAGATTTGTGCCAGCAATCTTTAAAGGCAACAGGCGAAGCCTCTACCTATACAACGGAAACTGGCGAGGTCTAGTTTCAAGATTGGCGTCAAATTCAGCAGCAGGAATTGGCGATTGAAATTGTCGGACTTGGGAGCTGACAAGTGGGGGCTAAGATCCCCTTAGTCACATGGTTAAACCAATCTCAGTCACTCAACTTCATTAAAATCTAATGGTTCTAGTTTATTCAGTTTAATGAAAGATAAGATGGTAATTACACATTTAATTTATTTAACAATTAAAATAAATTAAAACACATCAAGCGTGTATCTCCCGCCCCTCGCCGGTGACCTTCCGCCGGTCCCTCGCCTCGGATCCCCTGGCCGGAATTATTCCATGGCCTTCTGGCCATTTCGGATCCCCTCGCCGAATCCCATGGCCTTCTCTGGCCATTATTTCTTTCCTTGGGCCTTCTGGCCATTCTTAATTGGTTTCCTGGGGATTTTTCCCAGAGAGAGAGAGAGTTCGGATCCCCTCGCCGAATTCCATGGCATTCTCTGGCCATTATTTCTTTCCTTGGGCCTTCTGGCCATTCTTAATTGGTTTCCTGGGGATTTTTCCGAGAGAGAGAGAGAGATTTTCTTGTCGGAAATTTTTTCCCCGGCGACCATCGTCGACGGAGAAGAATTTTCCGGCGACAGTGCCGATTTTGTGATGTTTGTTGACATATTTTGTAATGTTTGTACGCTTTGTTATTTTGTAATGTTTGTAAACTTTGTTATTTTTGTGCACCATGTTTATCATTTTTGTCAACCATGTTTGTAATGTTTTTTATGTCTAAAAAACAACCTGGTTGACTTTTGGATGAAACTTCTCTATATAGGGATGGAGCCTCCAAAGTCAACCCGAGTGTTTTTTCCCGTTCGTATGGATTGTCGGTCTAGTTTGTCATTTTTGTCCACCATGTTCGTAATGTTTGTATGTCTAAAAAACACTCGGGTTGACTTTGGGAAGGAGCCCCTCTATATAGTGACGGAGTCTCCAAAGTCAACCCGGTTGTTTTTTCTTTTTGTACGGTTTGTATTGTTTGTCAGTCTAGTTTGTATTGTTTGTACAGTTCATACGTTTGTAATGTTTGTATGTTTTGTCGCTCTAGTTTGTACTGTTCGTATGTTTGTATGGTTTGTACTAATTGTAAATCCGGTTGGTATACTTCGTAATTTTTCATAATACCCAAACTACCCCTGCCATTAATTAAATAGCCGTTCCCACTTTTTAACCATTGGATTGAAGTGTCCAGATCTAATGACTAGGAGGGGCTTAGTCAAGTGACTAAGCACCCCCTTAGTCACCGGATCCGCACTCGACAAGTGGGCTAGCGTCGCCCAAACCAGGAATAGGCTCTAAACTCCCGAAGGTCTTATTGAACTAAAGTAGAAGATAATCAATTACAAAAGGTTAAACCTGGTTTTGTCATTTCTTCTTGTAATCAAGTCCCTTTCTGAGGCTATGTTGAACTGAAACCCTAGGTTGGTCAGATTGGTAGAACTCTGGGTATTTCCAGAATTCCAGACTATGAAGTGAAATAGTTGTTTTAGTTCTTCAATGGTTTTTTATCTCTTTCGCGTTCTCTCTTCAATCCCCAAGTCTTCTTAAGGGTGGAGTGGATGAAAATTTGCTAATACCTTGACTCAATAAAAAACATGAAGTTGAAGTTGCCTATACCGTCACCAATCATTATGAGATACCCAACCCGAAACCAAATCCCGACACAGCTTTGGCTGCCAATTCTGGACCCAAATCAGTTAAGCCAGCCAACCAATTAAGACAGAAGCCCTAAGAAGACAAATTATCTTCTGTTCTGTTGCATATTAGAATCCAGCGATCCCAACTGGAATACAAACTGCAATGACAAAAGATCTTCCAAGGTAGTCGGATCAATATGGCATAGTATAGGACTAGATGAAGAAAAGAAGTTATAAAACACTGAATATATATCTTCAGCTCCCTCAAGCGCCATCATGGAAATGGAAAATGGCAAGAAAAGCTTACAGATACTGTCAAAAAGATCCGCCAAAACTTGCAGAGCCCTCCTGGTATTGATCTCTAGGTCGTTCTAGGTGTAGCCCACTCAACACGAAGAATAAGGTTGTCATAACCATATCCATTCAGCTTGTTTATCGCTCTCTCCGCATCTTCCTTGCTTACAAAGTTGACAAACCCAAAACCTCTGCTGACACCAGTCTTCTGATCGATAGCAACATAGACACGACTCACCGGACCAAATGGGCGGAAGAGATCCAGCAAGTCGGGCTCACGTGTGTCCTCGGAGAGGTTGGTGACACGAACTGAGTTCTCTTCATTCCTGCGACGCATATCCGAACCAACACTTCTCTCAGCACCAGGCCTCATGCTTGGTGGGACATAAGAACCCTTTGTGGCTCCACCTGGAGCAGTAGCCTCAGATGTAGGAGGCTTATCAACAAATGATTCAGACGGGGCAGCAAGATCCTTGTACGGACACCTTGATGTCCAGTGATCTCCTTTCTTCCCACAAGTTCTGCACAACATGAGAACAGCTCCTTTGGATAGCTGAGACAAGTTATCACTACCCATCTTGTTATCTTCCTGTTTGCTACCTGTTTCTCATTACACCAATTTGAGAGAAACGAAGATCAGCAATTATCATATGGTCTTCTGACCCAAAATTTCAAGTCCATCTGGTACCCACACAACTAAGAAATAAAACTTTCATGGACACTAATGAGCACATCTATTACAAAAAACAAGAGGAAGAGGCATTAGAGAAGTGAAAAGGCACAAAGAGCAAGTAGGTCACCGGTTACAATACACTCCAATTCTTTTAACTTCAAAGCAATTGGTGGCATGCTTGTGGATGTTGCTGATGACCCATGGCACTGAAACCAAATTACTAATAGTTCACCAATATATGCCGCCAACAGAATCTCAGTTTCGGTGGCATACTGACCATTCACATAAATCAGAAGCTCAAAGGCAAACATGTGACTGGCTAATTGACCACCATAACCACACACACACACACACACACAAAAAAAAAAAAAAGGATGTGAATGAAACATTCAACAGCGTTCAAATGGATTGGTGCTTAAATGCCTCCAAACTGAATCACCCAACTCCTAATATTACATCATTACACCCAACACGTATTCAAGAACATGTTGGAGAACCCATAAATCAACTGAATGACAACACAGAAATTAATCCGAAACAGATAAATGTATCTCTCGATGCCTTTATCAGGGAAGCAGAGACATAAGAATAAAAGCAGCCAAACACCACAACCAGTTTACTCGCATCTCAAAACTAAAGCAAGATATCAAACAAACTTCAGATGGCAAAGAAATGACAAAGAGACGCGAAACGAACCTGGAGCCCTGGGTCGTTCAAGCAAGATCTCCTCGGTAGAGACCATTGTTAGCCGAGCCCCTACGTCCTCGTGGACAGCGTCGCCGAACTTGGGCCAATTTCTCCGCTCTAACGCCCGTCGACTCAAGCGGGCCTTGGCCAGCTTCCTCACGCGAGTCGTAGTCGTAATCTTGACCTTGTTACCGTCGTCGAATTTGTACTCAATAACTCGTTTAATCCCACTCTCATCAGGTCCAATCACTTCCTTCGGAGGCAGCAGGAAGTCCAGATCCTCGCCATCATCCTCGTCCAATTCGCCCCACCGGAGCTTGCTGGGAGCGGATTTCTCGATCGCCATGTTTCGCCTGAACGATAACAAGGAAATCACAAAATGCGGCGGAAGCTCGTATGGATCGAATTCGGGACCGCCATTAGGGTTTGAGCGAGATGCAACAGTTATAGGAAACGACAATTTGTTCCGTGATTTTCTTATATATTCCCCGATGGCTTTATGAAGCCCATTAAAATAAACTTGCTTCAAGCCCGGCCCACCGTGGCAGAATTAAAGTTCTATTCAAAGTTGTCAACCGGTTTAACCGCTGGCCGGTCAAGTGGTTTGAGGGTTAATGGTCTGTCGTTTTAGTCAGGTTTCGTCTAAAGATTCCCAAAAAAGACGCATTTCACAAATCAAAGGAAAACATCACGTCATGTGACCTCCAGCCCGGAAACCTTACTATGCGTCGACCGCAGGTAGGGATGGCAACAAAACCCGAACTCACGGGTACCCTACCCGACCCAACCCGGTCAACGCGGGTAAAACCCGTGTTGACGGGTTTTGGACCAGGTTTGTAGACCTGGCAATCGGGTCGGGTTGAGTAATTTCGGGTTAGAAATCTCGGGTTACGGATCTTCACGGGTCGGGTCATGTTGGGTTTGCTGATTCCGGGTCAAATATTGACACAATCCATCGGGTTTCGGGTTATGAGCGTTCTCGGAAACAATATCAAACATGCTTCATAAATTTTTAAAGAGCACAATTTTTTACATATGGGTGACAATAGTTTGCCTAGCACATGTTATTAACAAATGCTCAACTCCTTCCATGCTAATGAAACGAAATAAAAATTGCACAAATCCTGAAAAAACAATGACGAAAATAATACTAATAAAATAAACAAATGATGTTTGATTATCTTTACACTTCCAACTAGTCTTTCAAATCCATATGAATGTTTTTTAACATCTCACCAAAGTATGAGAGATTTTATCCTTTTGAGAGTGACATATACAATGGAACGGGTCTAGCGGGTCGACCCAAAAACCAACCCAACCCGCCCAAAAGCTACGGGTTAATCGGTTTCGGGTTAAAAAAATCTCAACCCATTCTCTATTTTTCGGGCGGGTTCGGGTCGGGTCAACGGGTCTGGTTCTCATTTGCCAGGTCTACAGGTTTGGGTCACTGAAATTACAAAAAAGTTCATGTTTGGTCACTGGAAATATTTAAATACAATCTTGATCACTCAAATTAGTTAAATGGTTCAAGTATGGTCACTCTCCGTCTCACTCCGTTAAATTTGTCTGATGTGGCATTGAACCCTCAAAGTTGATTGTTAACTCAGTGATGTGGCAATTAAAAAATAATAAATAAAATAAATTTTAATATTTTATCATTTCCAACTCATTTTCAAAAGAAAGAAAATTAAATAAAACAAAAAAAATTATTATAGTTAAAAATTGAAAAAGGGTGCTTCCTCCATCACCACATCCCTTCCCGCAACAAAATCAGCTCTCAATTCCTGCACCTCCTCCACCCTCGACACCGCCCCTTCCTCCAACTCCGTCAACGCGGAATAGGCGGAGACGATGGGATACGGCTTCGCTGAGCAGAGATCCCCTGCTTTCTGAAACATGTAGAGGTCTTTGTTCTTCCTAATCCCACTACCATGTTCACAAAAGTAGTAACTTGTACCAGGACCACGAAAAGCATAGAGTTTTGATCCTAAAGCAATGAAACCCATACCTTCCGTGGAGCCCAATCACTCGGTACAAACTATTTTCTCCGCATTCTCTGCATTCACCAAGCGTAGCAAGACGGAGCCCTTATGACGGAAGAGCACCGCAGCGTCCCACCAATTATTCTCCTTCGTATCACCAGTACAACTGCAAATTGTCTACTGAGCGGGACGGGGACGAGGACTCGGGTGCCGCCGTTCACGGTGAGATTTCGTAACCCGGGCCGGCTTCGACTGCCCACGCCTCGACAGAGGCCGCTTGCAAAAGCTCCGTCTCCGGTTAAGCGCCGTACTATGCATATCCCAAGTTAGGCAAAGAAATTGGTTTTCCATCTTTATCTGATATGGATTTATTCTTCTCCTCGGATTCCAAACCCTAGCTTCAATTTTGAAACCCAATAATTTATATTTCATTATTTCTCTAATCTGTATTCTCCTTTTCAATTTTCAATTTGTAATTGTAGTTATTTTTTTGTTTTATGTGTTTTTCTTTATTGTGAAAATGAGTTGGAAATGGTAGAAGATTAAATTTTATTTTATTTATTATTTTTTAATTGACACATCACTGAGTTAACGGTCAACTTTGAGGGTTGACTGCTACATCAGACAAATTTAACGGAGTTGGACAAAAAGTGACAATACTTGAACCATTTAACTAATTTGAGTGATCAAAATTGAATTTAAATATTTCCGTGACCAAACATGAATGTTTTTTTTAATCTTATCGCAATTAACCCTAAAATTTATTATATTAAGGCAACAGTCGACAATGTTACTGAACCAGAAAACAATTCCTTGATGGGCTCTCATGGCCTAGTATGCTCACAAGTCACAAGATTGTGCCCCTTGAAAATATACACGACTGGACTTGCGAACTTGCGAAGGGGGCTAAACATACAAGTCAAAACTGTTCCCCTCTCGACGTTGATAATCATGTTACATCTTTCACTTATCCGAGAGAATGAAGAACCTACATAATGGCGGGGACAGTGGCTTATCACAATTCACAATGCTCGAATTTGTCCGCCATACCCGTAATGCTTCAGTAACCCCTCATCTTGCCGCCAATTCTCTTTTACTTTCACCTCCATCTATAATAATAGTCAATCCCTACGTTAGTAAAGTCAGAATAACTCTTTGTAAAATTGGTGAAAAACCGACCAGGTAAAAGATGATTTCTTTGCACCTCAAGGTAGACTTTCTTCTGCAAGAAATCTTCAATGTCAAGTCTAGCTGCTGTAGCTAGTAATTTCATGGCCTTCCCATCCTGCATTTACACAGGTTTCCAAGCATCAGTTTGATCACTTGATGCATGAAACAAACGCATCTAAAGCGCTCAATGCATCATCAAGACAACACTCACCTTGCCAAGCATTATGATCTTCTGGGAGTTCTTCTCAACAATGATCTCCACCTGTATAAAATCTTTTGCTCCTGGCCTAGCTTTATAGCTCACTACATTTACCTGAAGGCACAAAAAAACATACTTTAGCAGCATGCTACATCAATTAGTGAGCACTTTCCCCATCTAATATGTGAATCGGACAGCTTGCAGAATTGGCAAACATTTCAGCATACCTGACTTGCATAAGGAACTTCATTGCGGAATTGCATAAAGATCTTTTCCCTTACTATTTCTGCAATAAAGAATCGTTCTGGGTGCTCGCTGATGATGTCCTACAAAATCAGCCCAACTAAAAGCTAAAGATTCCAGGAACAAGTTCAACGAGAGGACAGCCAATCAGTCGAATTGGTTGCAAAAAATGAAATTATTCCTCAAGGGTACTCTACTCTGGTGCAGGGTGCTAATTACAGATGCAGCTATATGCTAAGAAGATGGCTCAAGAAACTATATTGACAAAAAAGAGGAATGACCTTCGGATAGTAAGCAGGCCCCGACGGAAGTTTGGATAGTATCCATTCCTTGACATCTTCTACTCCATGACCATATTTTGCACTGACAGGAATAACCTCATCGACATTGGCAAATTTCTCATACCACTGCACAGATGTCACTTCCTTTAAGTTAACATTCTAATAACATGTAACATTCAATTGCCTAAACCCAACACATGAAAATAACCGGAGGTGCTAGTAACGAAAGCTGAGAGTTCCAACCTGAAGCTTCTTTGCAACTTCACCAGGTTTGATGAGGTCTTTTTTGTTTAGCACCAGCAAGATAGGCACATTGTCCTTGAGGCTACCAGCACCTTCGGCTTCGAACACCTCATCAATCTGGATCAGGGATTCTAGCTATAGTAAACTAGAACCACTTTAAACAGTCTTTAACAGCCAACAAATTTCTTTTACCTTTTCGGGCATTTTGGTTGCATCAACGATTACTAGTACACAGTCAGCATTAACTGCTGCACTCCTCACATTCTTCATCATCATGGTATCTAGCTTGTGCATTTTCTTCTCGATGACACCGGGTGTGTCGTAGAGTACCATCTGCAAGTAACCCTTTATATCAAATGAAGGACACAGAGCTCAAACATCTTGCACCCGATTATCTACATTCCAGGGATTTTCAGTTATTCTGCTGCTATTGGATGTAACCCAATTGATACGGGAATCTTTTGCTCAGTGATGCAAGAACTCTTTCAAATGAAGTACAGCAAACCAACATATTAGCAACCATTAACAAAACTCCAAATATCAAACCTGATAGTCTGGGCCAGAACATATACCAAGAATTCGATGCCTGGTAGTCTGAGGCTTATCCGTAACTATGGACAACTTCTGTCCTACCATTTGGTTTGACAATGTGCTCTTTCCAACATTCGGTTTACCAACCACAGCAACATATCCTGCAATTTCACCATCAACTCTGTCAAAGGAAAATTGGTAGCAAATTAGCATAAATCGACTGTATAACAAGAGCTAACCGCTTCGATGGTTAGGGTCAGCAGAGTAGTCGAGTTCTTCCATCTCGTAGTCGTCGAGCAAAGCCATGCTTCTGTTAGGCTTCACACTGAGCGACAGCAAACCTTCTTCGTAGTCGGCTTCGCCCTGGTCGAGTTGAAGTTCGTTGATCAAAAGCTCATGTTTCCTCGACAAGACAAGGGGCGGACTACTACTTCTCTTCTCAGTGCTGGAACCGCTTGTAGCTCTGTATCGAAATTGACTGGGTCTGCACAAGTTCCTCGCGCAGAAATGGCGGGTTACGTTGAGACTCGACGGCGTCGTGACCGTGAACCTATCAGCAGCAGAGAGATTCGAAGCTAGCTCCATTTGTTGGACCTCGTCTATTCGCTCTTCTTTTTTCCTTTTAGGCTTCCGGACGGTTGTAGATTAGAGACTAGAGCGGATAAACTTCTCCTGAACCCCTTTTTCTCCTTGTCTTTGTTTTTTTTTTTTTTTTTTGACAAGGTCCTTGTCTTTGTTTCGGGAGCTGTTTTTTTTTCCCCTTTGTACTTGGTACTTTTCTATTTCTTCTTTCTTCAATAAAATCACCATTATCAAAAAAAACTTCTTCTCAGTTCAACTTCCTTCTCTACTCGTTTACATTACCGTTTGCTGCGAACTAACTTTTCATGAAATCAAATTATTTGCATTTGGAATAGAGAAATTCATTTACTATTATAAATTTTGAATTCATCGAACGGGTTTAAGCAATTTCCAAAAATTGACTTGGAATTTTTAGATGAATTTGATAAGTATTTTATTAAATATAATAGAATGACTAATTATTAAGTAAATTACTACTGTGTTTAATCAATAAGCACTAATATTTCGGATTTTCGCACTTAACCTTTTTCGCTTAGTTGTTACTTAACCAATATATCTATCTACTCTACTTATAATACGCGGGGAAAACAACTTCCCCATTTCAAATTTGCTGCCTCCAGAGCGTTGTTTCTCGGAGGGGTATTTTCGGACACGGAAAATTGCACAGCCCCTCTCGTGTGGCTGAACGGGCCCACTGGCCCACTAAGAGGAAAGTGATTTCAGCAATTCACTCAGACTCAGAGTTATCGTCGACTCTCCTTCCAATCTCGCCGCTTCTGCTTCCACCGGAGGCGTGCATAACCAACTTCTCCACTCCCATTGAACTCCAGCCTTGGAGTCGACAAATCGTCAATCTCCTCTTTCCCTCTTTCTGTTTCCCTATCGCATCTGGAGACCTGTACTCGCCGGAATCTGCCTCCACCGTCGCCGCATCTGCCGCCAACGCAGGTGCAGACTTAGATAACCCAATTCGCCTATCCACCCCTGTCGCTCCCGCTCTAAACCGCGAAAATGCGATTTGGTTCAAGTTCGCAGTTAATTCGCGAACTACTTCGCAGCAGAGCGCGAATCGTCGACCCAAGTTTATGCTCGACAAGGGAGAAGTTGGAAGCTGGAGAGGGTGGGTTCAGAATTGACCCCTGGGTCAACGAGGGAGAAACAGGGGAGATGGAGCGGGGACTTGAACAGAGGAGTTTGGATAAAATAATTGGTTGCTGTGAAGCTACCAGTTGTTGTTGATGATGATTTCCTGTTGAGCAATTTTTTCAGGGTGATCGAAAGCGAAACCAGGAACCATCGATTTGGGAAGCAGATAAAACGAAGAAAGTGAAGGGGGATTCACAAGTGGGTTTGGAATTGGATTGAAAGAATTTCCAATTCACAATCACAATAGAGAAGAAGAGGATAAAGCTCGACTTTGGATCTAGGTACCGGGAAAGCTAAAGCTTCGATCAATCGCATGCAGCTACAAGCTCCCCCAAGCCCAGAAAGAGGGGAACGATTTCTTCTGGTTATTGATGAAAGAGAGAGAGAGTAGCGGCCTGGAAGAAACAAAAGGGAAAAATGGGGGTTCACGTGTGGTGGGGAATGGTGATTTAGGTTTAGGAATTTATTTAATGCTAAATATATATTTATCTTAAATGTAAATTACTAATATGTTACTTAAAAATTAGATTATAAATCAGTCATCAAATTTCTTAGTCATTACATTATATTCGTGTATTTTAATTATTATATTGCATAATATTTATAGTTATATTAAAATAAAGAATTAATTATAATATAATAATGACGCTCTCTCTACGCTCTAAATATCAAATTCTTTAAAAATAGACGCTTTCACGCTCCCGTTCTCGCTCCGCGAACTGGTTACCTAAGTGCAAACCACCAACCTCCTCCACTCTCCTCGAAGACCTGATACTCCGGCCGGGGAAGCGAGGAGTCG